ATGCTTCCTGTCACAGCAAGATTAGTCAAAAGAGTACAAGACGTTCTCATTTCACATTAAATTCTCATGCACTTTTTTTTTCAGGAAAAAGTGCCAGATGTGCACCAACCTGATCATGCTGGTAGCTGCACTTTTCATGGCCTTCAGTAAAACAGCCAAATCCTTTGAGATGATTCTGGTCGGACGCTTTCTCTATGGCATTGGTACAGGTATGTGCTTATGCCACTGTGGAGAGCAAGCATCCTTGCTGTCCCAGGATTGTCTCTACAGGTATTGCCATTCTTGGAGAATGATTTTTAAAGCAAATATACTAGGCACTTAATAAAAGTGAACGACATCATCCCTTTTGCAAAAAATGTTAATCCAAATACCAGAGTGAATGGAAACAATGTAAGAGACGATGGAGTCAGAAACTTAAGCTTTTCTCAGTATTTTAACAGTCATTTATCCTCTTCTGTGTTAAAGGTTTTTCTCTCAATATACATCCTCAGTATGTAGGAGAGATTTCACCCAAGAAGCTGCGTGGATTTACCAACTCCACAGTTGCTGTTTTTCTGACACTGGGAAAACTCACAGGACAGGTTATTGGACTACGGTAAATACTCCAATCTTTCTATCAGGTTACACTAAAAGTAGTAGAAATCTTTCTATAACCTTACCCTCTCAGGTAGTCAGTGACTGAAAAACCCTCTCATCTTCCCCAAAACAGGCCTTAGCTTAGGACAGAAGAAAAGTTTTGGTCATATTTGACGCAAACATATAGTTTTAAATATAGGAGAAATAAAAATTAATTACTCATAATCTGATTTCTTCTTATTTCCACACCCTTTCTACTAAGCGACTTCCCCTTCAAAATTTACTATGCTTACATGAAAAGTCTTAGCAAGATGTTTTGGTCCTGTGGTCAAACAGTGGTCAAATCAGTTTCATCAGCTCTCTAGACATTATACTGGATCCTCATGATACTTAGGAAGTTTTTCAAAATGCCAAATAATTTCATTAAAATTGTCAGGAATAAAAATAGCCAAATTTGTGAAATTTGCTGAATTATCAATTCAGGTGTTTGTTCCACTGCACCCTTGAATGGAATTTGAGCAATCCTCATGACTCAGAAAAACTTTCTGAACATTCATTCCATTATTTCAACATGATTTTGTTTCACATACACTTTCCAGGGAGATTTTAGGAAGCGAAGCTTTGTGGCCATGGTTGTTAGCATCTAGTGGACTGTCAGCATTGATTCAACTGGTTACCCTCCCATTTTTCCCTGATTCACCATCCTACCTCCTGATACAGAAGGGTAATGAGGAAGCCTGCAGGAAAGGTAGAGTGTCTACTTTCCTCACTTACTTCACTTAATTTGATATGTTAGAGTGACAGCCCCTGTAGAAGACAAGAAAGCAGGGCAGAGCTGTGTAGCACAGTGCAGTGCCATAGAGTAATAGCAGAGGCAGTTCTAAATAGAACAGTTGAGGTACCTATGGCAATACATTTGTATTAACCTGGGGCCTCACTCAGTCTAATTTAATCAGTTAAGACAAGAAAGATAGATATATATTAGTATGTCTAACATTTCCCACTTCCGTGGGAACTACTTTATTTCTTTAAAGGAAACGGTTTAGGCAGTTCATTTTTTATTAAATAAAATGTACTTAAATGTTTATTTTGTTCACAATTAAGTCAACTCAACATTAGAAAGATAAGCCATGCTGACAACCAAAGAAACAAAATTCTTCCGTTTGTCTACTGCCCCAGGCCTAACCAGATGACAAAAGCAGACAGCACCAACACCACCACCTATGCCAATGGACAGGCAGACTAAAGGGTTTAATGTAACCACTCGTGATGGAGCTATACTGGTAGAATAATCCACTCCCTTCTTTCTCCCCAACAGCCATCAGGAAGCTCTGGGGGGAAGGAGACCATCAAGCAGAAATTGATGACATTATGAAGGAGAAGGTTGCAATGACGAGCACGAAAACCTTGCGTGTCCTCGAAGTAATAAAAGAGCGATCTTTGCGCTGGCAACTTTACATTTTGATGACTGTCATGACCACCTTGCAGCTCTGTGGAATCAATGCAGTTGAGTGCTTTCTTTATCCCCAGAATAAGAGACAGCACTAGGCAGGTGTTGCGAGTGAGTGGTTTAGAGGTCACTTAAAGAATCACCGTCAAAGGTATTAGCAGAAAGTGATTTTAACAGTGATTTATAAAAGTGCGACTTAAGAGAGTTCGATGGCAAGGTTCACTCTACTACTTATTACACGGATGAAACATATAAAGAAAAATCATGTTACGTCTAAGGGTTTATATCTAAGGGATTATATGTGTTTAGCACCAGTCTAGGGTTCATTCACAGTTTTAGCAGCGCTTAATCATTAACTAATTATTAACAAATTTTAGCAGCACTCAATCACTAACTAATTTAACATTTACGAAGTAAGTGTTAATAGAATCTACTACAGTCACAAGAGTGACTTAATTACAGATTATGCTTACTATTAGTTGACACACACAGACAGAAATATATGCATATAAATGTACAAAAAGTACCTGTTAAAAATTCCCCTCAAGTTCAGTGAAGAAATATTCACGTAAAATGTCTCGGCATTTCTTAACGGGTGAGGGTTGAGCCTCGAGAAGTGAAGAGTTTCAGCCCAGGTCCCGTCGGATGATGGGCCTCCGAATATTGTTAGCTCAAGAAGTTGCAAGCTCTGAGAGGCATCCCACTCAGAGGGAGATACAGGGTGCAGCCTGCTGCGGTCCCGGAGAGCTCAGAGAGTCTCACTTAGGACCACCGTTTATAGGTTCGCAAGATGATTGGCTTTAGTCATCCATAAATTTCCATCCTGGCCACAGTCCCAGGTGGTAATTACTAAAAATTCTCAAGGTTTCAGTGTTGTTCTACCTGACACCTGGGCCAGGCAATAGGAGTACATTTCCAGCCTCAGCTATGCAGAGTTTCTGATACAGTCAAGGAGTGCTCAACCGCCAGACTCAGTACACCAGGGCCAAGGTTTCATGGGAATTTCTGAGATCAACAAATGGCCTAGAAGGGGGGTGAAAATGCACCACCACAGCAGGTTACAAACCCCTCTAAGTTACTGGCTGTTACACCAGCTTAGAATTGCATCACAATTGCAACACTTTTTTCACAGGTGCATTTCCTCTCTGCATTTTTCAGATATACTTCTATTCTTTTGAAGTATTCCACACAGCCAAGTTTGAAGAATACCTTATCCCATACGTGTCCCTGGGAGTTGGGTTGTGTGAATGCTTATCCTCTATACTGTGTGTAAGTCTTTTCAGACTTGAGTTTGAAAGAAAAATTTAATGAGGTCAACAATTGTACTTTTCCTTACTTGTAACTAGGCTGGGGGAAGATTTGCATAACCTAAGACACATATTCCTGCTTTTGCAAAGCCACAAGCAGCATAAAAGGCAGCTCTTTTCCCAAATTATTTGCACAACTGTATGTCTTTAGACTTACTTTTATTCTGCAAAATAATTTTCTGATGTTCTGGATTAGATGTGTGTATGTATGTGTGCACAATTCGATATATTCCAGCACGCAAGAAAGGGAACTGTCTAACAACAGCCTAGGGTTGATTAATAAATACAGCTTCATTAATCTTTGAAGAAGCTAATAAAATTCATTAGGAATTAAGAGATTCTCAAATGACATTGATTTCTGACTATTATTCAGATAAGTCTTCTGAGAAGAACACATGGAGAGGAGAGGAATTATTTCATTTGAGAACTGGGATTTATGACCCGTGTTTTCTGCTTTTCAGAGCACCCTTATAGACCGATTTGGGAGGAAGGTGCTGCTGTGGGGAGGATACACGCTGATGTGTTCTGTGCTAGCACTCCTTACCATGACCCTGTCACTGCAGGTAAAGAGGCAGCAGCTGGCTACTTACCCAGCATCAGCCCACCTTTCTGATCTTGCCTCACAGGATATGTACAAAAGCTTGAGTGAGTGGCAGAAAATACAGAGCTCTGCTGCTTCTGTCATGTGTCTAATGGTTTGATATCACCGGTTTCTCACTTTTAGCATCAGTTTTTCTGGATGCACTACTTCAGTGTTATCTTGATCTTCCTATTCGTTATCTTCTATGGAATTGGACCATGTGAGTACATCAATGGCAATGCTGGGAGGAAATTTTGTATCATATTGGTTGGTGACACAACTGGCAGAGGAAGAACAGTCTAGTACCATGGTAAAAAGTTCTGGAAATTAAGGAGGAAAGGGCAGATATGTACAAGTGGGAGTCAGGAAAAGGATACAGATATCTCAAATTTTATTGCTGATCACAGGATCTAAATAATTTAAAATACAGTATCATCTTCTCCAGAGGGTTTGAGACAAATTTCAGAACAATTTTTAAAATACTCAGATAAAACCAGGATTCTAGTCATTGCCAGGTACATCATAGTAATCATACCCTTCATTAATTTAGTGAGTTAAGGCTGGTATGCCTATCAACATGCTTCCTGTGGAACTGACCACAGGAGCCAAAACGGGAGTTGGTTTTATAAAATGCTGCGCTAATAATGGCTACCAGTGCACTATGGAACTGCACAGATCCACTGGCATCAGAAAAAGGATTCCAGTATGTACAAAAGAAACTTAAATTAACAGCTGAAATCCTAATTTAACATCTGTAGTCCCTTTCTGGAATCAAGGTCTTTCACCATAGCAGAGGCTACCGGCCAGGCGGCCACCTATTCTGCCTGTCTGCCATTTTCTACCACTGCCCTTGTGAAAATCTTTGTCAGGAGCAAGGAAACTAGTATACCTGGTTTGTGTTTTGCTTTTCTTTTTCAGCTGGAGCCACTATATCTATCATGGTTGAAATCTTCAGCCAGTCATTCAGACCATCAGCCTTTCTGATTGTTGGCTGCATCAACTGGATGGGACTGTTTGTACTTGGGATGATTTTTCCATTGATTGTTGTAAGTGACTTTAACGGGATCCCTCCCTCCACGCTAATCCACTTCTGAATGCTGACAGGGAGCAAAATAATAGCAATAAGTTGCAACGGCATGCAAAGCTTAGAGCTCTGTCCAAACACCGAACCTGCTCAGAGGAGCAGCAATTGGACTCACGTCAAATGTGGCCGGGGGAAACTCCTAGTTTGATACCCGTCCTGGTTTGTGTATTGAGCACACCTTTGAATTTTAATTACAAAGACACAGACTTGCACCCAAGGGCAGGGAAATAAAAATGAGATTCTTATTTTCCTTATAGTGTCTCCCATTTCTGCTTGCAGGATAACCTTGGACCCTTCTGCTTCCTTATCTTTTTGGGAATCCTGGCTTTATCAGCAATTTTCATCTACCTGTACCTCCCTGAGACGAAGGGAAAGTCAATCATGGAAATAAAAGCAGAGTTCAACAAGCTGAATTTTGGAAAAAAAGAAACCTCAGCCACTGAAAATAACTTTCCTAAGGAACAGTTGTTCTGCACCAAACTCTGAATGTTCAGAGAAGAAATTTGCATCTCTTAGAAAAGACAGGAAACAATGTTGCAATAGAACTAAACAGGAAACATTAAAAACAGACTGCAAGCTCTTCTGTGTCTTATTCCTTTTTTCTTTTTTTTTTTAACATAGATATGAAATTCATTATGCTAGAGTTTTATTTCTTGCTGTTATCTAAATATTTTCACAGGAAATTTCATCACTCAGTTTTAAGATCTACTGGATACAATGAGATTTTTTTCTAAAAAAAAAAAAACCTTTTTTGCTACTCTGCCTTATGAAGTTTTAAAACATTTTGTTAACAGTCCACAGGGCCCAAATCCTGCTACAAGAACATATATACAGGCTATGCTAAGAGCCCTGGACCCACAACCCTGGGCCTCAGTTGGTCTCTCTTGTTCCCAGGAGTCCTGTCCAATGCCACAGATACCTGAACAGTTTGTTATTGAGCTTTCTGAAACAACACCTCACTAGCTCTAAGCACCTCAGAATCAGGAAACTGCTGACAAACAGTTCAGAGAAGAGTATCAGAAATATGAAGGAACAAGTGAAATAATTTAAGAAGACAAACCAAGGGAAGGAAGGATTAAGAAGGCTAAATGGTCATCAGTCATGAGGCTGGGGAAACACAGAAGGCTGAAATATTTGCCTAACAGGCTGATAGAGGAAAAGCTAGGTATGTGGTTTAGGGTGACCTGAGCAGATATGGGTTCAAAATTTAGCACAGTAAATTAGGAAAAAAGGTTCCAGCCATGGTAACAAGAAAAAAATACTGAAAGTGAAATTGTACTGTGCCACAGTCCTTCTGGACATGTAATGGAAGTCTCAGTGGAGAATATCCTAGTAACTCTAGGCAGGGAGAAGAACCTGCCAAACAGAGTTATTATTGTATGCAAAAGAAGTAAAATGGCTCCTATAAAATAAAGCACACTCCCAAGAGCATCTGTGGTGTCTAAGGATCTGATTTTCAACCTGGTACATAAGCTTCTGGGAATTACATCAGATGTTTTCAGAGAAGAAAGAGTTTGTTTTGGAAATGTTTTTCTTGTTATGTAAGCAAGCTGCGAATAACTAGTGATTATTGTACCCAGCAGTAAAAATAGGTTGTGAAGTTCATTGGAAATACAGTCTAAGTTTTTCCAAGTGACCACTAACAACTATAGTTTGATTTGTGACTAAATGCTTTGGATCATGCCACCTGCTTTCAACTAATCACTGAAGAAAAGATTCATCAATATTACAAACAGCAGTTCCTCTCCTTACGGATGGAGCTGTCATTTGAGTTTGGTTTTAATGCTTTGACATAGGAAACATGCCCTGAAAATTCTGTTTGTTCAAACAGACTTTATTTCTGGATTTTTTTTCAGGTTTTTCATTATTTTCAGAATGCTTTGGATGCAGGAAACACAATCCACTAACATGGGTTGTAGATGAACACTGGCACATAGTAATTCATCTCCTGACTTTTTATTTGTTGGCTTTTTACAGCCAGGGTGCTACAGGGAAGGAACTGACTTAAAATCAACATACACCACACAATCAACTTGAGCATGTTCATATGGAGGTTTTCACCATTTAAAAGTATTTGTTTAAATTACACCGTGGCAGTACAAACATTTAGCACAAGCTATAGAAAGCTCTCCCTCTTTTCTGCAGGCTGGGGAATGGAGTGAGTAGAAAAGCCCTTAACTCACAGAAACTACTGGGCATCACCTTTAACATGGAGAGATTAACAAACTCCATTTATTTTGTCCCCATCAGCATTTTCAACCTGCTTTCCCCACACACATCTCACTGCACACACCGCTTACCAAATGCCACATGACCCCTCTAAATCACTTCTCTCATGTAAGACTCTACTAGGTAGCAAAGAGAACTGATCCCAGCTCTGCCACTCTGGATAAAACCCGCTCATTTTAGAAAGCCTGTGGATTTCCTGTCAGGAGATCCTGTTGACTGTGATGGGACTATTTGCACAACAAAGGAGCAAGTTCAAAACAAGCACTGTGTGCTCACCACAGTGGAAAATCAAGACCCTGACTGTCAGACTTTGTCATGACTTAGTCACAGTTCAGGGAAGGTGTCCACAACATGTGCTACTGGGGTTTTTCTCTTATGGTCTATTCCACAGAAAGAGTTCCAGACCTCACAATTGAGGCGTTCAACTAAATTTTTTAAATAATTGCATAATTTGCATAAAGAGGCATATTATAACTCTCCCACTTTCAAACAGTCCCTAAAACACTTGCTTTTTCACTGGTTTTTACGACCAGGCTGTATCCAAATATGAAGTGTCATTTTGGATGCTTTGATTTCCAGAGCGCAAAAAGCCAGCTTTCTCTCCTAGAAAAGCTGTGCATTGACTATCTGCGTTAGCAGCCAGCAGCCTGCAGATGGCACATGCAGCCTCCTCTCTCCCGAGGCACTCCCACCCCGCCAGGTGCACCTGAGGAAGATACCACTGACTATTTAAAGGCTCCTGAGGTGCTTACTAGCATAGTGGGGTAAGCCATCTTGCAGGTGGGTTAGAAACAAAACCGTGAACAAGGTGAGCTGAAAGAAAACCCTCTCGTGATCCAAAGATGCCGAAGTTCATTGTTAATACAAATATAAGCAAGGATAAAGTTCCAGACTCTTTCACGGGTGAGCTTACCCAGCAGTTATCAAAAGCAATGGGCAAACCAGCACAGGTAAGTCCAGATGCTCAAATATTTTCTTTTAGTCAGTTGTGCCTATGCAATGATCTATTTCTCAGTGATAGCCTCTATAAACTAATATATCTAATGACTCACCAGTATTTGGAGTCTTCTCTCTGTACTTGTTTGCTGTAACTTAGCTCTGTTGAGGTCTTGAAACAAACTATTTAAGCTAGCTTTGTATAGGATGGTACTCCATGTAGGTCTCATGTAAATCAAGACACTGGATGTGTGTGGGTATGTATATGCAGGTATCTCTGTGAATACCTTTCAGGAATGTAGCTGACTGAAAGCAAGCCTCACCCTGTAACTTTCTGAATATGTGTTTGTTATCTGCCACCAAATTGCCTGTAGCCTAGTGGTTACAGCTGAAGAAAAAAAATAAGGTATTCAGCTTGCTTGGACATCTAGCAAAAATACCCATGCAATGTCCTGCTACTTGTAGTCAAAACACCAGAGTAAAATCTGTTAGGTGGTTTCATTACCAAACTGAGGGATTTTTACCTAACAAAACCCTTGGCAATATGCTACTGAGGTGAAGTACTGACATACTGTCATTAAGAGTCTTATAAGGCTTTTATTTTCTTAATTAATCCTGAAAAGTCACTATCAGTTATTTACTGAAGACTGTTGATGAATATGAAAAACAAAGTGAAAGCTTCTCTATAGAGCTGTAAGCTTTATAACATGAGCTGTTATAAAGTAACAGTTGCTGTAGCAGCAGTAACTTAAGTGAATCCACTATAGATCTTTAGCAGCTTTGTGAAATACCCTTTCTACGTATTCACTAGCAAATGAGTGTTTTCAGAAAATGTTTCTTATTTTACTTCGGGAGTGACGCTTGAAACCCTAGAAAGAATGAAGTTCTGGTGCCTCAGAAAGGATTCTGTGGGCTCCCCAGCAAACCTTTCTCTGCCCACTGGAACACCTGAAGTTCTTGAGCAGATCTTTGCTCTTCATGGAAATAAAGGTCTCTGAAATGGTAGTCACCCTAGACTACTTAAGATGGCAACAGAGATCTCTGAACCCCTTTGCAATTGTTTGATAACTGCCACAGGTGGAAGTGTCCTGAGAAGGAAAGAAGGGGGAAAAATGGACCGAAAATTAAAAACCAAGTGGGATAACTGAAAATATTAGAACAAACTTTGGAATGTCTTAAAAATGGTAAGAAGAAAATGGTGAGCAGCTGGCATGGTTTTGTCAAAATCGGGAACATTTTAAACAGTCCCACAGTAGTGTCTTATGCTCAGATCTAGTCAACACTTCCAGTAATGATTCAGTAGACTGAGATGTGCAGATGACAATAGCTTGTATGTACAGGAGACAGTAAGAATTCAAGAAGATAGTAAGAGATACCTTCTCAAGACAAGAAGCTTTCTTTCAACAGCTGATTAATAAGTCAAACTCCACAAAAGACAAAGAATAATTCATTAAAGAGGAAAGGATTTTGGGAGCTATTATGGGTTACAATATGAATAAGAGTTAAGACAATGCCTGGGAGCAGGGGAATTTCACTTCTGTTGTGCACAAGGTAGAAGTAAGCCTCAGCAGGAGTACTCCATCTAGTCTCAGGTCCTTTACTTTGAGAGAGAGGTAGGCAGATTAGAGATTCACCAAAGGAAAAATGCTGAAGAAATAAGATAATGCAAGGATCAACAGACATTCTGGCTCTTCTAGGAGAGAAGGCTGAAGAGGGAGGCTGTTATGGAAGAGATGGGAACAATTTTTTTTTTTCCTTCCTCAGTGGCATAAGGCAGGAAGCCAGCTTAACTTGCAGCAAGATTTCAGCTAGATCTTGGAGGAAAATTTTAAAAGTTTCTGTGACTTCCAGTCATATTCTGTATTGGACTTGCACCATGGATCCCACCAGTGGTGGGATGGTTAATAGTATTGATATTTCTTTGACCAATTAGAAATTCTCAGTTCAGCACCGATAATTAAAGTATTTCTATTTGTTGTTGTATGGCTGTAGACTTTAAAAGACAGTTGTATGTGTTTGGATGGTCTCATCAAATTGATTTGATGTCGAGTTAAAAAGCCAATTGACCTGGAGAAGCCTGGTTCTACTATGTCTCTTCCAGACAGATTGTTTGATGTGTGATAAGAGGCCCCTCTTTCTCTAGGGACAGTAATGGAGCTCTATGCAATCAACTACTCACTAAACATGTAGGAAATCAATCTCTGTCAAATTTGACCAAAGTTAGTTACCTCAGGTAATAGTCAGAACCATGTTTTAGGCTTGTATAAGCCCTGTCTCCACAGAAAGCAGGCTTGACTGTAAATGGGAGTAAGATCATAATTTTTTTCCCAACACATGCAGTAATATAATGAAATTCTTATGTAAAACTGATGTGTTCTATCCTTCTTAAAAAAAACATTTTTTTTTATCAGTCTAGCAAACAAGTACTTGCTGTTGGGGGGGTGAAGGTGTCAGCTGGTGGTTCTTGCATAACAGCTTCTGAATATAAAGCTAGGGGCCAGGGCTGGGATGCAGCTGGAACAGGTTTGTGCAGCAGTGTGGAAGGGATATGTGATGGGACTTAGAAATATACAGGGAACAACAAAGAGATTTTTTGAAGAGGACATGCAAGCTCTTCGTGACAAAGGAGGCAATAGGAAAGGGAGAGTCTTTTAGTTATAACACAGAAAGAAGGAAAGGATTAGGGTAGGCTGGAATGCAGAGCTTTCCTCTTGCAGGAAATGGTACCATTTGAAAAAAATACTGATTTTTAATCAAATAGGGTTTTCTTCTACCGAAAAAAACTGTTTCAAACATTTTCAAACTGCTCTAAGAAGCAAATAATGCTGATTAACACTTCAGCTGTTCTGGTTTTTTTTAAGCAATAATTTGCTTCCAGGGTAGATGTTAAAGGCATATACATACCTACAATTGGCATAAAGTTGAGAGCACAGGGGAGAACAGGGCTAAGCAAGTGGTACCTCAGCAGGATCTCCTTGGCTTATCCTGTACTGCTGTGGTCTGATGCACCTTGCACCCAAACAACCTGTAAATGATGACCAAGGCTAATTATCCAGACAACTCCTGGTACTCTGGCTAGCTTGTTTTGCCAAGAGGGTTAATTGCTGCTGAGTTCCAATGATGCGCTGCTAATAAACGTGGGTAAGAACAGAAGCCAGACAGATGCCAAAGGAACTGATCCCTGAATTCCCCCATGTGTTGATCTGACACTGTGTATTAGCAGCAGGGAAAATTGCAGGCTGGTCATTAATATTAACATAGATACTTTCTTCTATTTTTCCTGCTATCAAGAACAAAAGTAGGATTAGGTTGTGTTTTGTTTAATGAGGGGTATGTGGATTTAGGCCTCTGCTGTGTCAGTTCACATTTACCTCAGCAGGGAAGACTGCAGCAGGAGCCAGTGAGGTGCAAAATCTCTCTGGAACGTAGGGCGGCAGCAATGCAATTGCACACCCCCGACTTGCACCCAGCCTTCCCGCACAGGCAGGGAGAGCCTGGTGGCTTGGAGGAGATTCTGGAGATATTGCAGGTCGCTGAGCTCTTGGGGCACCTGAACTTTCTACCTAAAATTCAAAGTCAGTAAAGATGATACTGCAGGGTCCTCCTTCCAACAGTGTGCCCGGGCTGAGCATCCAGAACCCATCTTTCAGTGGGTAATTAGGCACACTGGGGTTGAAAGTTGCAAGACAGCAGGCAGGGAAGGATCTTTGTGACATGGTAACTTAAGAACAAGAGTGAAACTATTTGCATTTTAGTAAGTGGTGAAAAGCATCTCTGAATGCCTGGGACTGCTTTTTTTTTTAATTTTATGTGCTACTAGTACCTTTAGTTAGGTACTAGCCATTCTGCAATAGATGAAAGAATTGTGATGGCAGTGCCTGTTCCCAAATGGTATGTCATGGGAATGTGGTTCTACGTCATACCTTCTCATCTTTGTGACTTGCAGGAAAATACTTAGGAAGTCTGGAAGTGCAATGAAGTACATGCAGGAGAATTTCAAAAGCATAACTGATAGGCATGCACCTATTTTCACTGCAGTTTAGGTACACAAATACCTTCCTGGGTTTTCAAAACTTTTCCTAACATGGCAAAGGAAAATAACATTCCTTTCTTCTTCTTCCAACAGTATCTAGCAATACAGATCTCTTCTGACCAGCTGATGTCCTTTGGTGGCTCCACAGACCCCTGTGCTATGTGCTTTCTCTACAGCATTGGCAAGATAGGGGAGCAGGAGAACAAGGTCTACTCCAAAT